CCCCCCCCCCCTGGATCCGCCCTTGTTACTTTACGTTTTACTATTATTTTGAATCTTTTTTTGACTTAATATACATTACCTGGTGAATACCATAAATGTTTCATTATATTAGGGTGACCGCCATCTTTTCTTAGTCTCTCGATGACCTCAACTTCACGATTCCATTCAGCTCTCTCGTTATTACAAAAGTGTTTGAGTAAGAACGTCGTTTYTTCGTTTTCTTCTTTAAAACTTCGATAAAAGATCTTTAAAAGAAGTACTCGACACCTTAATTACCTGTAAGCTCAGCTGCATTTGTTCGAATTCGTACAACGAGGTGTATTGTCTTTTTTATGTTTGCAACCAAATCCATATGAGGGATAATAGAGCAAAATAATTCATTATGTTAGAAATATAGTTCATTATATTTTTTTAGACGAAAACCACTTTGAATACTTACAACTGAGTGCGAGAATTCCCCTTTAAAAAAGTTTGTCTTCACAAGGTTGATTTTGGGTTTTCTAGATGATCCTTTAAGAGTGCCTGGACCGTGGGATGCAAGGGTCACAGTTGTGGCAATCGAAGTATCCTGAACAATACCTGATGGATGGTTCGTCATTGGGATATGACTAACATCTGATAAACCTGTGCCTATCACGAAAATATTATTAGAATAAAGGAATAAATAAATGTACAAAATAGTGCTGAATATTGCTTAATTGGTGGGTTGGTGGGTTGGTGGGTTGGTGGGTTGGTGGGTTGGTGGGTTGGTGATCGATTAGAGGCGATGGCGGAGGCGAGGGATTTATACAAGACAATATGCCCCCTACTGCATCAATCACTATATACTAACAACTTTATTTTGAGAATAATGTGCATAAAAAGGCCTTTCACAAACCAAACGTACCTTGCGACACAGCATGAGTAAAACGGCGTTTGATCGAAGTTATGATAGATTCCTTTTTGTTACTTAAAGAGCAATTCGAAAACGTGTACAAAACAGGGTTAATCGATGAATTCACTGGTAAAACAAACACCGCAATCCACACATAAGCAAGTTTTTCTGGGTCTGGAAATTTCCCTAGCARYGACAACACTCCRATGATAATAATTGGCATCCAGCAACAGAAGTCAGTCAAGATAATGAACGCCATTTTTCTTGCTAATGCAGACTCAGTGTTCATTTGAGTTGATCGAACAGAACGACTAGAGCTTCGGACTTTCCAAAACATTATGATATATGCAACTAAAATGAAACTAAATGCRATAAAGTTCAAACCAATGAAGATAGCTACAGAGTATTCCCAGCCAGGAAATCGTTCATGAGAGAGCTGTAGAGGAAGACATACGCCTGACCTTCCATAAAAGCCCACTTGCCCATCATAATCATAAAAGTAGTCACTGTACAACATGGGGAATAATGCTATCACAAAACCAAAGATCCATATCAAAGTTACAACAAGCGCAGCAGATTTCATTTTAAGTCTTTTGAATTTGAAAGCAAATACAATAGTTGCGTATCTGTCCGCGGTTATGGTTGTTAATATAAGGACGGAAACTTCACTGGAAATGACAGAGAGTGCTCCTGCAAGCTGGCATACACGACTTGATCTCCATTGAAGGTCATTCTTAAAGTATACGCCTCTCCACTCAAGATCCTTTATAGCAATCATGAGTAAATACACTCCCATCATAAGATCAGATATCGCAAGATTTGTAAGTAAAAAAGAGTGGACTCGGTTTCTCTCCTTCACGATTAGCCTCCAGATAATAACACCGATATTTCCTACAAAGGCAAGGATCCCAAGAATCCAGATACAGATTTGGAGTGTTTTGTTCTTCATCAGGTTGTCACAGCTCGAGAAGGCAGAAGATGGCGATTTACATGTTAAACCTTTTATGGAGTTGTAAGCATAGCAGCAGAAGACGAAGCGATCTAGTTTGCTGTTGAGCAAGACCGACATACGTGGTAAGCCATGCATGATTAAAAAACCCTCTTCTCTAAGATATGGCGCAAGTAATACAGTGATTGTAAAATGGAAATTACACTCAACGCGTTGCAAGCAAAAAGAGAAAAAGAAGGATAGTTCAAAAGCTAATGCAATATAGTTTTGAAAATAAGCGAGTTGCATGGGTGGTCTATACTGACTCATAATTCGTTTTATCATATGACCCCTACGGCCCTGCTCGCGCGCTCTAATAAAACCATTGGAAAAAGTCACGTGATGGGGGCCGAACGGGTTGACGTAAGCGGGCCGGAAAAACCCGTCCGGCCCTGCTCAAAATCCGTCCGGCCCTCTTCGGATGTAACCATTAAATTTGATTTAAAAAGAAGCTAAAATGACTGACAATTTAAGCAAACACGACGAAAGCGAATTCTACTATTCAGACGAGATATCTGACACTGAACTGGCTCAGCAAGCGACGTATTTTGAGTCAAATCTGCTCAATGACGGTGAAATACAGAAATACATCCGAGCACAACAGAAAACAAGTACAATCAACAAAACTAAGTATGACATGAACGTACTGAAGCGCTTTTTACAAGAATGTGGTGAAGAAAGAGAAATTGAGAATATCCCTTCGCCTCAACCTGACAGCCTTCTTTCCAACTTTTACATAAAGGCAAAAAAGAAAGACAATACTTTGTACGAACCTGATACAATGTCGTCCTTCTCAAGAAGTATCCAGCGATACCTCGACGATAAAAATGCAAAAGTAAACATCTTAAAAGATGAAGAGTTTAAGCTTTCCAGACAAGCCTTGAGGTCCAGACGACGAGAATTAAGAAAAGAGGGCAAAGGAAACAAGCCAAATGCTACTGCTCCTCTGACAAGCAAAGATATTGATGCTATTTTTAATGAAAACGAGTTTGGAGTCCATGATCCAGAGATCCTTTCCCGTACTATGTGGTTCTTGATTACTTTGCATTTTGGTCATGGAGCACGACACGAAGCGAGACAGCTGAAGTTTGGAGACGTACTTTTGAAGAAAGATGAAATAAATGGCGAAGAGTATGTAGAGTGGTTCCAAGAAAGAGAAACTAAAACCAGACACGGCGATGAAAATGAACACCAGAGAGCTTTCCGACCAAGAGCTTATGAGAGCGGCGACAAGAAATGTCCTGTGACCTGCTATAAGCAGTTTGTTTACAGGCGTCCCGAAGAAGTCAAAAGTCCAGAAAGTCCGTTTTTTTCTTGCTATAAATCATAGAAGGATGCCAAATGATCAAGTTTGGTTCCTAAACATACCGATGGGAAAGAACAAGATTGGCGAATTCCTGTCTCAAGCAAATAAAGATTTGAAGTTCACGAAGTCAAAAGCCGGTAAAATTACCAATCATTCCGTACGTAAAACTGGTATCACAACACTCCTGGATGCTGGTGTTCCACACAACATTGTCGCTCAATTGAGTGGCCATAAGAGCCTTAAAAGCCTCGACAGTTATGCGGTTGCCTCTGAGAGCCAACAACGAAAAATGTCGAAGATACTGAGAGGTGTTGAGAACGTCAAGCACGAAGCCAGCAGCAAGCAATCATGTCTCCCAGCGCAACCGACTACAAGTTCAACTGCCGCTGCAGGTTCTTTTTTGGGGGGAGCAAACATTGGAGTATTGAACATTCAGAATCTTGTTCTTTCAGGCCATGAAGAAATCTCTAATTCGTGTCTGGTCAAACCCAAGAAACGTCGTTTTATGATCGAGTCAGATGAAGAAGACTAACTAAGTCCAAAAACGTTGACATTTGTCCATGAAAATACTTAGAGTTGACATAGACATTCTTGAGTTCCCAAGCTGCTATTTTTTCCCGACTTTTGACCAAATAGCTATTTGCGAAGTGTATTAAAACAACTTAAAACTTTCAATGTATTAAAAACAATTTTACTTCTTGAAATGTGCCTCGTGTTTACAGTGACTGTTAAATGGCTTCTTCTCAATCAAATAAAAAGGACTTCTCCTATTGGTTCTCGTTTACGCGCGCTGTATTTATCAAGTTTAGCGAGATTTTTCAGCCTTTTTTTACGATAAAAATTGGGTCATATGATAAAATGCTTATTGACTGAGTTGGGTCAGGCCGGACGGGAAAATATTTGGCTCGAGGTCATTTGTACGGACCTCGCTGCGCTCGGTCCGTACGACATGACCTCGAGCCAAATATTTTCCCGTCCGGCCCTCCCACTCAGTCAATAAGTACAAAAACTCTTACCAATCTCGCTTTCGATCGGTGGCTCAAGCCAAGGACATTAGAACAAAAATTTGGTGGTTTTTAGCCGTTAGAAACTGTTTAAACTGTTACTCGTCTGTTCTGTTATGTGCTGGCTTGATTTATTCAGTTTTCCCGTCTATATATACGCCAAAAATACTGCTGTGACCAACGGTCCAATCGTATGTAACGAACTACTGTATCCTATACCTGCCTCGTGACCGCTTACGTAAGCGTACGCGACGGTTAATAATTAACTCATTAACTTATTAACCGTCGCGTACGCTTACGTAAGCGGTCACGAGGCAGGTATAGGATACAGTAGTTCGTTACATACGATTGGACCGTTGGTCACAACAGTATTTTTGGCGTATATATAGACGGGAAAACTGAATAAATCAAGCCAGCACATAACAGAACAGATGAGTAACAGTTTAAACAGTTTCTAACGGCTAAAAAACCACCACTTTTTGCCCTAACGCCCTTGCTCAAGCCATGCTTGCCCATCCTGTAAGTAGGGTTTGTTTGATGCGTTGTTCTCTCTTTTGCCATAAGAGTCATTCTCCTGTTTCTCTGTTTTTTCTTCCCTCCGTAAAAATCACCATGTTGGTTGAGACGTTTATGCATAGAATATTTAACGCAGTGATGGTGTGTTTGAGAGACCACTATTAAAAATGTGATCTACTTATGTTATCTTAACAATATGTACAACTTTTCACATATATAGCTTAACTTACAGGAGTCGTAGGTTCTGTAGGTGACCAAACGTCGTCTCATCTATACTTTGAATGGGATTTTTATCGAGATATCTATAACATAATATGCGGTTTAATTTGCTACTGCTACTGCCATTCCTCTTCCCAAGAGGTAGCATTTAGTGTCAAGGGCGAATACAGGGGGAGGGTCGGGGGGGTCGCGACCCCTCTGTCATTCCTGAGGTCAAATGGGCTTCCTGTGGTAAAAATGCGACTGGGATTCCTTTGCTCACAAAATTTACCCCTGAGACCCCCCCTTCAAAAAAACCCTGGATCCGCCCTTGAGTGTCTTGTCACAAGTTTGGTGGATACTGGGTGTATATGTATATGTTGAGCGATTGTTTGTTTACAATACACTCAAAAAAATTGAGCAACTTAATTGGGATTCTACAGAGTGCATTTTGGGATTTAATTGTACTCCTCTCGTCCAATCCGAATCAAGTAATTTTGTAGAGTGTAATATAATTATAAAAAAATCTAATTTAGATACTGATCACTACCCACGCATTATAATTATGTTTCTCAATTACAAAAGGGTAATTTCCTAGGGCCTGAAACAGTGAAAACTGTCGTTTTAAAAACAGCTTATTTCACGCTCTTCTTACTGTGCCACTCACTAATGTTTATCGCTTCTTTATGGTAGTGTATTTTCAAATAACGTTAAGCAACACAAAATGTGAAAATGGATTTTAATCACGGCAGTGCGAGTCTCAATAAATCCTTGATTTTGGGCTGTTATTACTACATATTCGTTGTTGAATGCATATATATTCATTGATTTCGTTAAATCGTCCATAATAAAATAATAGGACTTTTGCAGCAACAGGTCACGTGACCCTACCCTCCATAAAAAGAGACGCTTTGTTAAAATGAATAACAGAAATCGAAAGAGCACCTCGATATTAGTAAGGAGTTTCAACTTATAATTTTGACTATAGTAGAAATGGCATTAAATACAAAATCGATTGTTTATATTTTCAAAATTTTCCGATATAGCGAACACTCTCATTGGTTGAAAGATGACCACGTGACACTAGTTAAATCTAAATGTATCCCGACCAGTAAAACAAGTTACTTATTTCCCGGTTGGGTAATAAGCTACTTATTTCCCGGTTGGGAAATAAGTTGCACGTGATAATAGTCGTGAAAATAAATAAGTGCACGTGACCAGAACTTGAAAAAAATCGTTAATGGCGTGATATTTTGTACAAATCAAAAACAACAGAGCGGGGGGCAGATATTTTGCTT